CTCAACGACAGCTGAATGTGAGAGTCCGCCGCTCTATTTCCGACTCAATTGACGTCCAGTGTGGCGTGCCTCAAGGGTCGGTACTGGGGCCACGTTTATTCCTCACATTCATTAACGATCTTAGCAGTGTACTGCAGTCGAATTTCTTACTATTTGCAGATGATATCAAAATTTGGCATGAGATCAGGACATCGGATGAACACATGGCATTGCAGAGCGATCTCGACAGGGCTTATACGTGGTCATCCGATAACCGGCTTCAATTAAACGTGACCAAATACAAAGTCGTAAGCATACGCCATCAGCTTATCTATGAATATCGACTTGGGGACCAGCAGTTACAACGTGCTTCCCAAGAAAACGACCACGGGGTGATCGTGCAGGACGACCTTGGTTGCTCGAGACAGGCTGAAAAGGCATCGAAAAGAGCCAGTCAACATCTTGGACTCTTAGGGAGGGCTTTCGGTAATTTTGAGCCAGCAGTCTTTCCGCAAATGCTGAACGCCTACGTGAGGCCTCAAGTAAAATATGCGTTCCAGGCCTGGCGTTACTGACGCAAGCGCGACGTCGATGCATTTGAAGCTCCACAAGGTAGAGCGACCAAACTCGTTAGAGGATTGTTTCATCTCTCCTACCAATGAAGACTGCAGTCCCTGGGATTGTACATTGGTGAATATCGACGTCAGCGAGATCTAATCATGGTTTACTTAATACTGACAAACCCAACTCACCCACACAGTAATCTGTTGCAGCTGAACCAAAATACCAACCTGAATGGCCATCAGCTCAAACTGGTTATGCACTACAGTCGACTTGGTTGTTGACGAAACGTTTTCTTCCTCCGTGTGTACCGTGCATGGAATGCCTGTCCAACTCAAGTTACCCTTGCCTCTACATTAACGCTTTTCAAAAATCGCCTTGATGAAACGCCTTCCAACTTGTATTACTTGTTATAGTCCGTTCCGCTTGGAGGACGATATAACGCAAACCTAACTAGGTGCTTAACGGCCGTCTCCGCAATGTGGCGGTGAGGATACTGTTGGGTCGCCACTGACGCCTTCGTCTCACGACCGCAAGAAGAAGTTCAATGCTGAGCAGGAAAGAGACTTGTATACATGAAATCACATTTGCTTATATAGGCTTATATAGGCAAAATAAAGGGAAGCTACTAAATTACACTTGAGCCAACCAGCAGAAGGAAAAACGTCAAATGCAACGGTGAATAAGCGACCGTGTACTCAAGAGCGAATCGCGTATATCCTTAAAAATAGCATAATGGGACTCCAAACGTAAAGCGAACATCCATTTACTGTGACGGTCACTGACCAATCAGCATAACAAACCGTAGCGCTTAAACAAATGTCACGAAACAAACGAGGCTAAGAAATGCAGACCCAACAACTAAAAACTAGTACAATAATTGTGTGACAACTAAATATTCCTTTAACATAACCAAGTAGGAAAGTGATGCGTAAAACCCAATGGAATGTGTTCTTGCAATTGGCAGGGCTGCAGAGAACACAGAGATGAGCGTCCATTAACAATGACGGGTGTGTACCAATCGGACTAACACAGTCGAGCGTTTAAACAACAGTCGAGAAGTAGAAAATATGAAGAATAAAGTATGACCGTTTAGCTCGTTCACAAAAATTGAATGTCTAATAGCCAATCTCCTAATAGATACATGTAGATTTTTCCATGGATTGACATACCACCTCTGTCAAATGAAGAAACAAACGAGTGAGCATTGTCGTTTCCTTTTTTATTTCTCACGCACTTACTGTACTATAACAGCTCTCCATACTATTTTACACGTGCACATCCTTATTCCACTTCAAACTATTGTTATAGAGTAGCTCATTTAAGTCGGTGGACGCTTGAAGTAACGATTTACTTATACGATGATCCTACAAATTTTAATTTTTACTCTAACCATCCTACGGGATTTGTTAAGCACATGCTTTTTTACCCTTGGTAAATCATTGATCAGCGTTTCCGGACAGGCCACCGATTCGCACTGCAGGTCGATGCGGTAGTATAACATTACCCCTCCGCTTTTGCTAGACCGATCGTTTCAGAGAAGGGACATACTATTTATCGCGACTTCGGCATCGGGAATTTCTGAGTTCAACCAGATTTCCGTAAGGAGTAAGAGGTCCCAGGCATATGATGCTTGACGTAACCGCAGTTTGGCTAGCTTGTTCAGGTGACCTTGTGTATTGGTGTACATGTAGGAAAGGTTCTCTGATTTTAGCAATGAATGCTGAGAGGCGTGTTTACGGTAGAATGTTCTGCCGACCTTTTACCGGTCGGCAACTACTCGTTTTTTCCGGTGGGGGAATGACGAACTCATCTGTGTCCGATTCATGAATCCTACCATTACCTCATTGCTTCTATCTTGGTATTTAATGCAGTTTGCAGTTTGTTTGCCAGTTGCGTTGACCAGTTGATTGGAGTTATCCGAACTCTTGTCGGTAAGCGCTCTCACTAACTGGCTGCTCCCGTATATTTGCTAAGCAGATATTGCTTTGATCTGGAGCTCGGAAGGAAGGCTACTGCGGCATGCATTCCATCCCTCGACTACCATTGCTGACATTTGTCTAGATTGAAGGACCACTTTCACAATCCTCGGGCCGCATCCTTTGTAGTTTGGCGATCGGCACAGCCTCAAGATTGACTGCACTATGCCGTTTTCCAGGGAGAGTGTCTCGCGAATTTACATCCATTTCTCCCGGTCATGAGTGTCTGCTTCGTGCTTATTGTGACTTCCAGCCTCGGGAATGCCGAGCACCAGGATGATCCTGACTACGAATTCACTCCGGTTTTCGTCCAAGTAGTGCGTCGCCTGTTTGTGCTCACTCCACCGAATAACCGGGGATAGACGGATGGAACAGGACTCATTCCGATGGCGAACTGTTGATAACAGGACAGCTTCTGCTTCATTAGCAGAAGCCAGCACAAATCAGAGAAGACTTGGATAACCGTAGTGCTGTGAGTTTGAGTGACAGGTAACGCGCGCCAAATTTACGGGCTTAGTCACAACACCTATAGTGTCACATATGGAGTTCCACTGGCTCATGTCATCGAGTTGCTTTCCTTTTAAGGAATTATACGTTGATTCTGCAATGTTGGCCCAGATTACCGCTGGTATACTACGTGGAACTCTGGTTGTGGTCAAGCGAATAGCTGATCTGTATACAGTCGATGGAGGCTGTTTGTGTACGGCTGCGTCCTCTTCATTTACTATTGGTCCGAAGAGAGTGACCGAAAATCTAAGCTTCCGGTCACCTTTGGCAGCAACTAAGTTCCAAACACCACTGGTGTCGAAGTCTTTCTGCATTTTAGGAACCCTTGGGAGGGTGGACGAGACACTGACCGTGTTCATTGCAATCAGACTGGCAGTGGTTGTTTCAAGCATATTCCAGCAACTTGTGGTATTTACGTTTAAAGCCTTAAGTGGTGCATTTTTAGCGCGCTGCCCAGCCTCCTTCCTCAGTTTTAATGCGGTGCTGGATGAGAATGACTGGGCTTTATTCTCTGTCACGCTTTCTTCAAATGAATCGCTTTTGTTGCTCCTCATTTGTTCCATCATTACTACCAATCTTTCGCACTTCTTCGATGGTTCATGTGCAATCTTTACCAGTGGAGTGAGTATGCGCACTGAACAGAAGCATAGTGGATCTAGTTAGTTATTGTGTAGCTTCAAATGGTTCCCTGTGAGCTTGGAAAATTTGCGAGGAAACTTGCCGAAGCAACTGCTACAATGGATTCCAATTTGTACATTTTTGTGGCATGAAGAAAGGCCACAAACTACTGTCGAGCTGAATGCGGTCACATGGGCTTTCGATTGGTCGCCACGATCCATTACATCGACCGATGGTAATCCCAGAGAGGCTTGAGCGGTTATGGTTTCCTGCTGGTCGCGTGTGCGCTGAATTATCTGCAAGTGCATGGTCCTCACGTCCTGTGCGTCTGGCCCTGGCGGGGCGGGTTTTAGCTGCTATATCGTTCACGCGGCAAACAAAGCGACTGAGGGATTCGGACACAACGTTTACGATAGCTACTTTGATGATCGGTTCACAGCTATGGTTCTTGATTCGTCAGATGAAACTTGTCGTTGACTTTCGTTTGAGACCATAAATATTTCTGCGTTGTTTGTGATCCGGTAAACTCCTCGATTGTGTTTTTCGGGAATAGCGCAAAAACCGCAACGGGGAGATAAATGGTTATCCACACACGCACTCATCTACTTACACTTTGTTACTTAACACTACGTCTCCATCCTACACCTGGAGTTTACCATGGAATCATTTGTTGTTAACTGTGGATGCTGTGAATCTAAGAGGATGGCAGGACTGCAGCGAAGCAAACGATAAGTCCTTATTTTCATATTTAAAGTATTAACTATTTTACTATCCTTATCATCATTATTGTTATGTTGATATCCCTTGCAACTATCCAACGGGACTTGTAAAGCAACGCTTCTTAACCCGTATAAATTCATTGTTCATTGAATGAGAGAGTGCACTAGATAGCGCAGATGAATTCTTGTCGAATGAGTGTAAACACACGTTTGTGTGACAAAATGCAACTGGGGACTGCGGAAAAACAATCTGTTTTTATTATGATGTCTTGCACTGCCGAGAAAAAAGGATTAATTTATTTATTTATTATTCATCACTTGGAACCCCGACTAACTGTCATATTAGCAATGATGATTTCCTTCCGGTTACTTAATTACATGCAGCAAGTCTGCGGCTTCCTAACCAGTTACAGTTGAGATGGCAGAACAAGGTTACACCGCCAAAGAGAATCCCACTGCCAAACATACCGAATAGACGAAGACGGAGCACAAAGTATCCACGAATTTCTATAGGAAAACAGTGACTCCTTAAGTCACAAACGTTGTATATTCATCAAATATATCAGGGGAAAATAGACGATTCAGGCGTAATTTCCGAAGTGAGGGAAAGGTGCACACAAGTTCAAGCAGCAGTGAATCACGGTGCCGCGCCAGAAGTTGCCTCGACAGCACGCCAGAGGGAATTGATGTTCATTACACCAAGACCAGAAGCACTGCCCTGGCGATCAATGAGTTCCAAGAAAAAGCCATCTGGTTCGAACAAAGGTTTGGTGATGATTTGAAGGAGGAACCTGTCGAGAGCAAAGTAGAAATCAATGGTAAATTGGAGTTGAGTGAGGAGATAATGCATTGTTCACATTGGTTTATATGCTCTGGAAGATGAAACCGATCACGATGAGTTCGATAGCTCTGGAAACATCGTTAAGAGCATAACACAACTCGTTGAACCCCAGAAATATCAGACGATGCAGCCGTCACACGGAATAAATTGAGGCGGCCTGACGCTAGGAATGTCGCTTTTTCGGTAATAATGGAGCATCGAAGTGCAATAGGTCGAGTTGACCTGAACCAGCTTGATGAAATACGACTACTAGAATGAAAAGGAACAATGGCTGCGTAAAATGTAGAGAGGAAACAACGCAGTGGAAGTGGGTGTAAACATTGGGAGAGGAGTGAATTGACACAGCATTTCTCCTTCCGCGTCATCTAGCTTTACAAAGACCGCTACTTCGCTTTACCACTTCGAATCGTCTCACTGTGCCCCATATGCATAACACCAACTTCAACCCTTCTAAGTTGCCGCAAATGTAATGACTCTGTTTCATGCGTCAGGCTTGTGTTCGTTACTTCTTTCTAACTTGCAGTGGAGACGTTCTGCGGACGAAGATCATTATTGATTGATAGCCGCCATCAGAATGTCACGAGTGCTAACCTGCAGCACAGAGTCAACTTAAGTTTCTTACCCTAATGATAACCGCTATTTGGAGTGGATCAAATTATGCTAGTGGTTCCGCGGCCAGGTCATCCTGGAGATATATCCTAAGGAAGAATTGTGTGGGCGATCGGGCGGACGACATCCAAGAAGACGGCACGCCCTAGCTCAACCAGGAAGATAGCACAGATTGTTCTGCTATGCTGTCTTATCTATTGGTCAGCTTGTGCACTCACAAAACTAAGCGCTGCCTAGGCAAACAATCCATGCGGATGCTAGGAGCGGGAAGCCATGAAAGAGTGTTACCAGACCAGTGCAGAAGGCTCAAGGTCAATAGATACTTCAGATTGTTTCTGTGTGGATCAGACACATGAACATTTCGCGCCAAAGACATTCGGGACCTGGTCGAGTTTGATCTCTGCTGTTACAGATTAGCACTTACGCTTGTCAGGAGTATTTGGTGACCAGTACTGGAACCCTCAAGTTGCGGTTTGGAAAAGAATCCTGTAGTAAAACACTGAGCTATATACTGAGCTCATGCCACTTAGTTGGTTGGGCAATGTCCCCCGTATGGCCGTTGATCCTACTCCTCGGCATGCGCTATATGCTCTCGCTGCGTCAGATGGATAAACAAACCGCTTTCGGGATTCTATAGAATCTCTCACCGCAGTAGTGGCATCGACTATGGACCTGTCTTCTAGTTAGCTGGGTGATATTGATTATACGATTGATTAGCCTGGAGTGTTGTTCAAAGAGAATGATCCATTACTAAATATCCTGTGGTCTGTTGCTAACAAAGGGAGGCCGATGCAAGTTCGGTACCTCACAGGACCTGTACCACGGGATCGCCTATTGTACATTATTTAGACTATCTAATCAAGTAGATCTCATTGTACTACTGGATCGGACTCGACCCTCTGCAACCCACAAAACTTCAATCACCCGAGGAAAATGTTGTCGGAAGCAAATGCTCGCTATACGCTTACCCCTTTCCTTTGTTTTCGAAGATTGCATATGCGGGAACTTTGGATGAATTGACGCTTTATGGAAGTGAAAGTTGTCTTAATTATTGAAGATTTCGCTGTTGAATACTGTTCCATCAGGGTTCCTATGTTCATGTGATGGAGACGAAGCGTCAATAGCAGTGTTGGTTTGGGGGCTGCTGTAATTTATTTGACAGTCTATCCAGTTGTCGCTTAAGATGTAAACCTGCTTCTCTACCAGTTGAACTGCTGCAAATCAGCATTTCTTTCTCACAGTCTCGTGTCATTGTCTTCATGGGGACAACAACCATACCGAGTAGGCCATGGCATTTTAGTGTTGGACACACAATTGGTTGACTGAGATTTGCAGTTGATTTAGAGTACATAGTCGGTCACACAGACTATTCTGGTTCGACACAGGGTCCGTAAAACCTCATCGTTGGGTTTCCGGTTTCAACCGTTAACGCAAATAGTTTGACGGCAGTGTCCCAATACGTGGTGGGTTTTCGCATGACAAACATCCTTCCCATAAAATGTCACAAACGTCTGTTCGTCAACATTGCGACCTGGCGGTTGTGACCCGCCACAAACTAAGGTCACTGTCCCGTGAATATCCGGATAATCCTATCCAACGCACGGACAACAGTCAGCTATTCTCACTTTGCCAACGCTATCAGATAGTCAAGTATACAGCGGCACACATACAAGTACAAACTACACGGTTATACACATGGTTTGCGGCATCCGGTTTCGCATTTGCCTGTTTCTGTGGCCGCTACATATAGAGCTACTGAACGTCTGAGCCTACAGAGGGACCATGGGTGACTTGCGCTGCACCACCCACATATTCGGTGTAAACCCGAAGGAATAATAACGGGAAGCATGCGGATGGGAGCCACATTTCATCAAGGGAGCCGGCCATCACCCCTTCACAGGTAAACACAGGCACGCTGTATTTGGGAATCAGTCGCACGCAAGGCTGTGGCTGGACCGTAGTCCGCTCCACACAAACAAAGTGCATGCAACGACTCTTCGTGCCTAGCACGGCCACGAGGTCCCAGCACCTCGTCCTCTCCAGCAACAACCAACTGTCTCCTACAGCCAGTATAGACCAAGTGGTGGGTAGGAGACACGTTGACGCCTTGTCAACATGCAGATCAAACGCAGCAACATCGGAGAGGTCAATTAACAGCCAATCATATGAAATGAAATGAGCAATAAAATAGGTCGAAATGCCATACGGATACGGTGCGAAATTAGCACGTGATATTAATGGATAAGGAACATGGCCGCGATAAATTTAAGATAGTAGATACAGAGATCAAAAACCATATGCAACATGGAGAAAACAAACGAAATTAAGTGCCTTTCGTTTAAGCGACCTTTGCAATCTAATAGATTATTCAGGCAGACAATAAAACGAGGTAAGAAAATATGCATTCAGACAAGATAGAAAACCCACCACCTGCAATAAAGAAGCTCAGCACGCAAGCCCGCAGCTAGTAAATCGAATGCAACCTGCTACGTTCTCAGCAGCACCCGTTCTCGCTTCGCTGGTGGCCGGGATTTGCCTCGATCATGGCTTACTAGGCCTGCCTGTCTCAAGCACTCTCGATCACATGTGAAACAGCACCACGTGCTCGACGTCGATCGAGTACGACCCATCGGCGTCTGTCGCTTCAGTACCTACCGCTTCTTCTCTGGATGCACGAGGGCTTTCTCTTGAACCTCGGCAACGGCGTTCCGGATCAGAACGCGCCATGCACTCCGATCAACCGCCTTCGATTTCCATGACCTGAAATTAACATTAGAACGTGAAAGGCTGACTTTGATCATGTCCTGGTAACGAAGCTTCAGTTTCCCCACAGCGACTTCAGCATCCTCGTAGAATCCATACGCCAACATGACCGACCCACCTTAAGTGCTCAGCAAGGGTATGTAGTCCACTGTATACACTAAAATTCAGTGCAACATTTCCGTGTCTGTATTTTTGTAGCACCAAAAATTGCGCAGAATCCGTTTCAGACACCGTTGATGAGACCGCTCAAGATATCTCACGTCTCGCCAGTACATCGTCCACGTTCCGCTGCCGTATAGCAGAACGGACAGCACCATCGATTTGCACATCATCAGCTTCTTGACAACCGTAAGCTAAAGGTTGTTCCACACTCGGTAGTCAAGCTTTAAGTCAAGTCAAGAAATTGCTTTTTGCACCCTGTATGGGTGAATATTGAGCTACAACACACACGAGCTCAACAAGATATCATAAAAAGCCAATCATTGGTGATGCAACACGACAAAGAGCGGGTAGATAAAGACAAAAAACACAATCTTCAAGAATGCCGCCGCTGCCTTCGATTGTCGGATATAGAGCTCATTGTATATTTGCTAGTCATTCGAAACCACACTCCAGTGCTGGTAGAAACGCGAGGTGGTTTACAACATTTAATAATCATCGCTGATTCGCGGCACCATTGTAGATCTCACAGCCGGTGAACGCTGTAAGAGACAGACAGTTTTGCTTGTGTTGATGATGAGCCGGAATTCGGCCGCAGTCGAAGCCAGAGCACTAATCATGCGCTGCAACTCATCCGCACTCTGCTCAAACAACGCACTGTCGTCAGCGAACAGCAACATACGGATAGTTGTCTCACAGACTACGGTTTTCACATTGAAACGACGGATGTTCGGCAATCCGCCATCACTATGGCGCTTCAAACGAACACCATAAGCACAAGCAGCATCAAACGCACAAGACATCATGGTATGAAGATGAAGGTGAAACAGAACAAGAGCCAAGACACAGCCTTGCTTCACACCATTGATAACTGCAAAGTCATCAGAGGTCTCTCCACTCAGCTGCACCCTCGCTCGCATACCACTGTGCAGACATACAATCAAACTTACAAATGTACACGGACAAGCAAACATCCTCCACGCCAGCCATAATGTGTCGCGGTTCGCCGTATCAAATGCCTTGGTGAAATCAACAAGCAGTAAGTACCAAGACTGTTGTCGTTCTCTGCAATTCTCCTGCATCTGTCGAGCCGCAAACACCATATCGATGGTGCTGCGACATGAACGGAATCCACTCTGTTCTTCCGGCACGTTCGGTTTCACAACCTGACTGATGAGGCGGTTGAGTAGGATAAAGGCAATCATCCTGCCCACACGACTCAGCAAGTTGATGCCATGATAATTCGTGCAACATTGCCTGCTTCTTTTGCCGTTTGCAGTGGTAGCACAAGGGCATCCTTCAGCTCAGGAGGCACCTCCTCCTCCTCCTCAATCCACACGCGTTGCACCAAGTGGTGCAGCGCATTCACCAAGGCGGGTCCGCCGTGTTTCAATACTTCAAGCGGGATACAGTCGGTATTGGCACACTTGAAGTTTCGCAGCTGAGCAAGTGATCTCTGCGTCTCTGCTCTACGCCTTATCGCCATTCCTTCTAGTCGCCTCGTGCATGTTCCTCTATCGGCAGCTGTGACAGTATTGCCCAGCTAGCCATTAGTTGTGACACAATCACACCATCCATCGAGCTCCGATACTTACTAGTTGGTTTCCCAGCCGCCTACGACGTATCTTCTTTTCATTTCAGCCCGTTTCGGTCTCATACGACCCTCGTACACCCCGGACACAGAGACCCTCGGAACACTTGACCGGACTGCTTGCTGTCGTGAGTAGCATCATATTTTCGTGAAGCCAGAGCATGCATTCGTCTTTAGGTAAGACCGTGTAACCAAAGTCCAATCAGAGAAAGTATTTTCACTCATTGTCCTAAATTCCTACTACCAAGACCGTGCACTGATTCGGTTAGCCAACTATGTGTTTTTGACTATTACAATGGATATTATAATGATAATCCGACGATAATCACTTACCCCAATCGCTTGGAAGAATTTTCATTCGAACACAAGACCTCGGTATCCAAAAGCACTCCCGATTCGCGCAGTTCGTTCAAATCCACCGAAATCTCTTTGAAAGCGCTGCTATTGGAGAGCTGAGTGGAGAACGAATGAGCAGCAATGAATGCGGAACGCAATAAAATCAACTGTTATCACTTTAAGCGCACACGGGGCAGCGCGAGCAGACTGGCGATTTGATGTGCTGTTTGCCAATAGGCATCGGTTGCAGCATGAACCTAATTCAATAAGAATCATGTCAAACTAACATGCAACTGCATATGCAGAGAGAAAGAGAGAGAGAGAGAAACATGTAGGACACAGTGTGTTTCGATTGGGAAGGTAAAGTTAATTTGAGCTATGAAATACTTCGAAGTGAGCATCGGAACGAGACGGGTCTTTAACGGGGTGCAACGGCTTGAATGTCACTGTGACTCAATGAGTTGTGACTGGTTGGACTACCATTGCCCCCAGAACAACTCACAGCAGGTAAAGCAACGGTAAGGGATCAGACATATTCAACACAACCTTCTTCTTTGAAGACTGAGTAGAGTTCGTCGATCCCCTTGCTTCTATACTTAGCATTTTGAGATATAAGTTTATGGTTTGAACCAGGACATATCTGAGGAAGCAGGAAAAGTTCTGTTATTGATCCCTCGCCTCTGGAAAGCATCATGTTCCATCCGCATCTTGCCGTATTCTCCGTGCAACTAGTGTAAACAGGAGAAGCACGACTTGGAAGAATACCGGAAAGAATCCGTAGCCAGGACTGTTGTTGTACACAATGTTCCCGAGACCGGAGGGCATGATGAGCGTGAAACGGCCACCCACGACTAAGAGTAGTGGTACTAGACTCGTGATATTCTCTCTCAGGTCAACATATTAGTGCGATTGATCTCGACGCTGCGTAGATGGCTGAGTTACAAAGGATGTGGCCCGAGAATTGCAAAGGTGGTGCTTCAATCCAGACAGGTATCGACAAGCATATTGGAGTGCCGGTATGCAGGTCGCAACATGCTACCTTCCGAGCTCTGGATCAAAGCAGTGTCCTCCTAACAAAAACACGATTTGAGCATATAATCGAACAACTTACCGACAACGGTTCTGATAACATCACTAAGCTAACCGACAAAGTGGGTGAATACACCCAAGCCATTACTCACAATGAGATGATTGAGGAAGAAATTGCGGGCTCCCTGGATCTGACACAAATAATTCCGTCACCGCATCATGCAAAAGGTGATCGGTAGCTGATCTTCCATCCGTCGACACAACATCACCCAAATTACACATCCCCGACTCACTACTGAGATAAGAGTACTTTTCCTGTTTGTGCACCAGCGCCTAAAGTCTCCTGGACAAGCTAACCGAACTGGCTACGTCAAGCATCATACACCTGGGATCGCATATTCGTAAAAGAAGATTGGTTGCGCTCCGAAATTACCGACGTCAAAGTCGAAACGATCGCCGCAGTAAAGGCAGTGGGGTACATTTAAACCACCGCAGTGACTCGAAGTGCGAACCGGTGGACGATCCGAAAACGCTGATCATATACCTACGTCGGTGCATTCTGCGACTGAGACGCAACGACGCTTGCCTTGTAGCAGTTGTTTATCGTCTCCCAATGTCCACCCCAGAGATGGACTTCCGACTGACAAGGGTCTAGCGATGACCACACAGCCTAGTTCTAATCTCAGGTGAATTCAATGTTCATGATCAGGAATTTCCGGCATCCCCAGTGAGCAATTTAAGGCCGACCTGAAAGAGCTTATTGCAAGCATTCCGCTCTTCAGCCACGTCAGACCGTCCACTCGATTTAGAGGGGAAATAAACTCTTCGTACCTGATTCAGTGCTCATGAACGAAGAGCTCATAATCGAGAAGCGGACGATGGAGAGTCCTCTGAGGCTAAGTGATCATGGAACAATACTGTACAACTATATGGGTTATACGAACTATACACAGGAACATCTTGACTTGTTTCGAACAATCACATACTATGACATACGAAGAGGATTTAGAGATGTAATCTGGTCATTTTCGGGTGACTGGTCTAATGTCACTTCCTGGTCGGATGTAATGACGATTTCAATGATCTGATCTTATCTGCATCGGAATGCAGATCCCATCGTTCTGTAAGAACACTATCATTCATTCGGAGCAGAGCCAGAAGACGCATGGCCATAAGTGACGCTGCGTCGTGTGTGTGTGTGTGTGTGTGTGTGTACAGAGCACACCCTAAGTAGGACAAATGGGGGAAATATGTAACGCAGCGCAATCATTGTAGCACACTTATCCTTGTGGACAAATTAATACACCAGCAGCGCCTAGCGGAAAGGTTTGTTTCTAACAAGTTTCCGTGCAAACATGTGAACTGACTCCGGAAAAAGAAACGTGGTGTTCTCCCACTGGTCTCAGCAGATGGATGTAATCGAACCACCGAGGATGCCATCACCACCCTACGGCTACAATATGCTCCAATATTCCGAAGCGTCACCAACATGTGTCACACACCCGTCCCATTCCGCCAGCCACCAGTATTTACACACGTCCTGCATATCACTACCCCGCCAATTATTTCCCAGTTATTCTCCTCCCAGTTCTCTCAAGAGTGATGGAGTCGATCATAGCTGGGATCCTAATGGGCCCATCGGAAACACCTATTATCATAGCACCGGATCAACACGGATCCCATTACTATCGGCCATGAAGTACCAACCTACTGATTGCGTGTGACAGTTTGACCGAAACAGCCGGTAGTGAGACCGGCAGTGATTTAACGTCTCTCAACCATGTCTCTCAACCATACGGTGATCTAAGCAGTTGAAGGCTTTAGAAGTTATACATATATGTATATAACTTTTCTAAAGCCTTCAACTGCTTAGATCACCGTATGGTTATCCGAAAGCTGCCAATCTACGGAAATTGGGAACCCTACCCTTGGATGGATCGGAAATGTCTTTCTTCATTGGCGGCTTCGGGTTCAGGTTCGAGGTTCATTTTCTGAACCGAAAGAACCAGTGTTGGAGCTGTGCTTATTTTTGTTCTCGCGCGTGTCATTAGGTCGAATTACTGCTTTCACCGATGACATCAATATATGGCGGTCGATCCGTTGTCAGGTAGATCACAATCTGTTGCATCGAGACTTAAACCGTACTTTCCAATGGTCAAAGACAAAACTACTTCCACTCGGCGCTGGCAATTACGATACTATATGCAAGACTAGTTGCCTGAACCCTCAAACTTACCAGTAGATGACGTGGCAAATAGGTATGAAGGGGATTGCAAGATATCGAAGATATCCATTGGTGAACAGACTCTCGAGATGAGAATACTGTAGTCAATCCCATTACCGTTTTGATACTCTAACGGATACAGAGTGAGGTCATGAAACCACTCACGCTTTCGCATCCGTCTTGTCAATGCTGGATATTAACTATTTCATCGGATAATTGCAATTATGGGAGATTACTATTGCGTTATCAGTGTTTTCGTTAAACGCGAAATGAATCGAAGTAATCGGATCCACTGTTCCTCGGCGCACGAATCACAGCTGATAAACTGAACTCAACTGATCGTAAAGGGGAAAACACGATATATCAGCTACATGTATACTCGGTCCCAAATTACTCAAAACACAAGGTGGATCCAAAGTCTACAGTTCCAGTTACAATATAATGATGAAATGAACATCGGTCATGCGATCATCCAGATCGCATCCGAAATTGAAGCATTTTCAAAGTTGTTCCATCCCATACTGCGCACTACGAATGGGTCGATCCTTACTGTTATGGTGGAAACAACTGCAGCCAAAACTAGACATTGGGATGCAGCGACACGCATCTTAATCACTAAGTCACAGCTCTAGGAGCAATACTTTCCATTAGGCTTGGAATTCGTCGTTGAATTTTCGAATACCCGGCGGCTAGTTCTATGCGAATGGCTCAAACAAAGGCTAAGCTAATTGTGAAGCGTAGTCCTGACATCAAGGAACTTAAGTGATCACATGTTAGTGCATGAGATTGGTTAACATAGACCGAACCAATGAGCTTAATTATATGATGAATTATAATGTGAAGACAAGCAGAGCCCAGTTGTATACGAATGAAGGGGTCACAGTCGGTCAAGTTAGCAAGCAAATGTGCGCATGAATACTAACATGTGAAACTAACGTATAAACCAACAATATGTCATCGAGAGAGCTGAACAGGCATGAATTGGAAATGCAACTAGTGGTGGCCGTTAATTGAGCCATCAGAAATGCTGAGACACAATACACACATATTCTAATTTCTACTTCACCGGATGATGAGTTAATCCTCGAACGCAAAGGCATAACGGTTAGACCGTGTAAACACAAGGAGGTTATGTGTATACCTCAAGAAGGATGGGCCGGTAACAGATTGATCCATGGCATGTCAATACAAGCGTCAAATATACTGACGCGTAACCAAAAGACCGACTACCACTTCGTCTAGCAGTGTGTCATTTAGCAAACACTTCAAAAGAACTTTGCAAACTAGAGGCTACCCATGTGGCATCCTCCGACCCAGTTGCTGTACTGTCCAAAATGCTTGTGGCAAATCAACACAGCTTCTGCCAAAACCGACGCTACTCCTCCAAACATTTCCTAGCATAGGTAAGATCGACTGAATCTGTCGACGCTGAGGAAAGAGTTGGCATTGCTTATTTGGACTAAGCAATCTTTTAACAATCTATGTCGTCGTATTCTTCTTCACAACGTTTACAGCTGTTGAATGGGTACTATTGTTCGGAGTCGGATAGACCGGTTTGTTGCAAAATCACCTGAATGTGAAGGTTCTTAGCTCAATTTCTGATACCACAGCAATGCAGAGTAACGCTTCTCAACACTCGATACCAGAATAATACTTGGCCCTGGCTTTCACGAACGATATCGCAAAAGTACTCATCTCATATTTACTTCACTTCGCTGAGGATCACAAGGTATGCGGTTGGTAGCTCTCCGGAATGATACCCATCCGTTACTGGTGGCTCAGCTGGCGTGTCTCTGTTGCGTGCATTCTTTCCCTTTTTGTATTGCGGCACAATAGCTGAGGTGGTTTCCACCTCTAGCCAAC